AATGAACAAGCTGAATGCTGTTTCCATGGAGTTTGGCAAAATGCCATAAAAGACATTTGGAAAGATCTGAGTACAAACAACGCGAGACCTGAGAATCCATTAAAAATCTCAATCCAACCACAAACTGACTTGAATAAAGTAAGGATCATGTCAGAGCCTCAATCCCTACTTGCAGTTTGACAGCCTAACTCACAAGGTTATTGTAAGGGAAGAACTCTGAACATTTAGGGGGAAGACTGTATATGAATACTAAATGTTGCTACTACTCAGCACAAATTGTGCATTGTCCTATAGCCCTGAAAGCACATTTTTCAATCAGAATATCAGAAATTAGTATATGTTAATAGCTATAAAATATCTAAGTCGTTGAACAGTAAGAACCCCGGAGTATAACAATGACAGAAAGGCCATCCAGAAGAGATAGAGATACCTATGTTTGGGGCTATACAGATGCCCCTTAAGGGGTGGTAGGACACCACCCATTTCCTTGCCGGATTGGGGCTGTGGCAACTACATGTTGCAGCCCTGATTTGGGCTTTCTGTGATGCAAAAAGAAGCCACAAAAAGTGGCTCCTTTTTGCACTGCAGAAAGGGTACCATACCTGTGGTGGAAGTGGCCTTTCTCTGCTTCTTCAGTGCAGTGCGTGTAAACGCTGGACCAAACACACACTCTTTTGCCACCCACTGTGCAGTTGATTGGGTGGCATAACGCCAGCCTGGGGATGGAGTCGAGGTGGCCAGCATGCAGTTGCCATGCCCCCACTCTGCCCCCAGGCCATCCCTTTTGGCCAGTATGTACTGGCCCTTCATCTTTCTCACTACTTGATTCTCTCTTACCTCTTGTACAAGCCCTGCACCCATTTCTCATCTTTGTCTGGTTTGCCTCTTGAAGCAACTTCCATAATTTACATGACACCCTAGCACATTGCTCTTAAATTCCTATAAAAGCTGAGTACACACACACACTCCTGAAGGAGATGAAGGAAAGGAAAAGTGAACAGAAATGCACATATCTTGGTGACTCTTGAATGGGTTCAGTACACCATTTTTAACCTGTAAATCAGGAGTGGGCCTACTCTAGAGCCAGAGGGTTGAGCAGCCTCATTTTCATTTCTTCCACAGCTCTAGAGGACTGCAATAAATCATTACAGCAGTCATTTTGGATAAGTAAAAGTAACAATGCATCACTTCCAACCAATTTTCTGGATGATCTGTGGGTAGTAGCTGCTTGGTGGTAGGCAGCCCTCCAAATCAGAATTCTAAAAATAGTGATTTTTTTGTTTGTTTTTTTAAAAAAGCTCTTAAAAGTGCGATGGGAATGAACTGTTTGGAGAATGTCAGGGCCTTTGGGTGGTCTTGAAGAAGATCCGAAGCCATATTGGAATGCACAAAAGGGCACATGCAGCTCACAAACCCCATCATTTCTACCCAGTCTCTCTATAAAAAGATATTCTATAAAAGAGCTCCAAACTTGCTTCCTGCCTCCAACAACTGTAGAAAAAGTACAGCTTTTACATTCAGCATTCTTATTTTGTGTCAGCTTTAATGAACACAGCAGTCAGCATTTTTACAGTAGACCAAGCAGGATTTTCTCAACCTGTCATTTTAGGATGTGATGCCCTACCTCAGATGCAGGACACCCATGGTGTCCTCATCAAAATGTGTGTGTGTGTGTGTGTGTGTCTTCAAGTTACCTGTTCACTTTTGGAGACCCCATGATTTTCATAGGGTTTTCTTAGGCAAGGAATACTCAGAGGTGGTTTTGCCAGTCTCTTCATCTGAAATCTAGGCGCATTGCAGACCACCCTAAAGGGCTGGCCTGGGGGTGGAGTTGAGGCAGGGCAGCTGCATGCCGGCCACTCCAACCCCACCCCGACACTGTCCTAACACCACATGCCTGTTTGCATGGCACACGGTGTCAGGACGCCTTTCTGGTGCAGCGTGCAGACACGCTGTGCCAAAAGGGAGCAGAAAAGCTGTGGTGCTAGTGCTTAGGGCAGCCTTTTGCCACCCCCTAAAAGGCGCAGCATTTTGCCACTCTTTTAGGGGTGGTAAAAGGAAGGATTGGAGCCATGGCGTGGGGTTGCCATGGCCCCTATCCACCACTAGCAGGGGCGGTCCAGAGGCACCTGTCTGCATAGCTCCCTAGTCTACAGCACCTGATATTCCTTGGCATTCTCCCATCCAAGTACTAACTAGGGCTGACCCTACTTAGCATCCAAGATGAGACAGGATCTGCTGCCTTTAGGGTATTTAGGACCCATAAAAATACTTTCATTGTTTTCACATTCACTGGAAGCTGTGCCCCTCCTTACCTGTACAGCTCAATCTGACCTTCCATTTCTTGCTTTTGTTAGAATGAGACAAATATACAGAGGGGAATGTCAATGTACATTGGTCTTCTAGTATCCAGCATCCATATTTCACAAAAAATTCCATCACCCTATTCCATGTCATCACAATTATATGCAGACCAATATTTATAGAAAGTATTCTGCAAATACCTCTACAAAGGATACATTTTTGTGAACTGGCAACCTGTGGCCTTCCAGATGTTGCTGGACTGCAATTCCTATCATCCCTTGCCCAGGAATTGCAATTAGGGATGGGCAAATCTGTGAGTGTGACTTTCCCACACATTCACATTTGAAAATTCTAGTCAATTACAATAAAAAATAAACTGGAAAAAAATCTCACTGTCTCACTCAAATTGGCCAACCTTCTTCATGTCCAGTTTTGCTTCCTCTCACAATGTTGCGAGGGGCAGTGCTGCAGCTCCAGATGGCCATTTTGGGTGGCTTCTGGGAAAGCAAGAAAGGGATGTGGCTCCCTTTCTCACTCACCCAGCTGCCACGCCAGCCCCACATCAGGGGTACCACCCCACTGAGTGTACACCCCCCAGGGTATCACCTGGTGCACTCCACACCTCATGTACCCCCCTAGTGACACCACTGCCTTTCCTAAAGAGGATAGAATGGTCCCTTCCTTGCTGTCCTTCCATCAGCAAAGGAAGACTTTTTTTTTATTCAGACAGGCTTTCAGAATGGAGGTCTTTTAAGAAAAGGGCTGTAAGAAGGTGCTGTTATATTGTACTGTTTTAAATGTTTTTTATCTTTTTTAAAGTATGTATTTTAAATAGTTTTAATATGTTTAATAGTTTAGTCTATTTTTATGTTGACTTTTTGTATGTTTTTGAATTCTGTTGTAACAATTTAATTTGTAAGCCACTTTTGAATCCCAGTCTTGGGGAAAATGTGAAATATACTCATATACTACTACTAATAATAGTAATACGACCTCTTCCTCCTGCTCAATTTTCATAGCTGTTGTTTGCAGGGATCAGAAAACTCAGTGTGTTGTGAAGAGAACACATCAGTTATTTCCATTTACTCAGCATCGGGGTGAGAAATAATAGTCACTCTAGATGTCACTGGACTGCAACATCTATCAAACCTAGCCAGTATGGCTGAAAGGTGAGGACTGATGGAAGTTGCAATGCAAAAATACCCAAAGGGCCACATGTTCCCCATCCCTTATCCAGGGAAAGGACAAAAGGACCGACAGTGCTGCAGCCTTTGAGCAGCACCCACACATCTTTCTTAATGGCTTATTCAAGTCTTAGAAAAGATTTCTATTTCTAGTATTGGGTTTCTTTTATAAGATGTATATAAATAATAATAATAATAATAATAATAATAATAATAATAATAATAATAATAATAATAATAATAATAATGTTATTCATTAAGGTGGGTCAGGAAGACTTGGTTCAAGTGCTTTTGCATAAGAAGCTGTGCAATCTTGTCTCTTTAATTAAGGACCCCATCAGGCAGGATCCAGTTATCAGCAGAATGTGTCATTGCTAGCTTTTTCTCAATTCATGAGAGCACATGCACAGACCTGATAAACCAATTAGGTGCTTTAAAAAAAAAAAAGATACCATCTGCCTGAGAAACTGCTAGCAGCCTGGTAGGAAGCATTCTTCCTATTCCTGGAAGGAGAGGGATACAATTTTTCTGTCCAGCATTTATCCCCATTATAATGTCATAATGCAAGTATGATCCTACATCAGTTTAGACCATGGGTTGTTTGGCGGGGAGTTGCACCAATAAAAATGTGGGGAAGAGGAATTGCACCATCTGTCTGCACACTAACTCTCCATCCATTTTGCTGAGAGAGGAGGCTATACTGAGAACATTGGGCTGTAAGAAGAACTTGAATCTGGGGAATTGCAAAAAGTTCAAGTATCCAATGAGATCTTTTATTCTATGTTCATGGAGGTGGCTAGGAAACAAAGCTTTCTCAATGAGTCTATGATTTATTTGAAGATTCAAACATACAAAGACACTCTAACATACATTCAAGCACACAAGAACTCAGGAATAAAGTAGTTAGCTTGGATATGAAACAGAAGGCTTTCTAATGGTGATAATTACCTGACATAGGTTGCTCTAACAATGAATGAAGATGGATAGACTCAACCATGTATGAAATGGAAAGGACAACAGTAGGAGCTGGGACCCAAGTCAGAGTTCACAGTGGTGCAGTGTCACCATGAAATCTAACCAGACCCAATGTGCCTGAGATTTTGGGGGGGGGGGTTATACCCTTAAACCTAGCCTGAGGTGAAGATTTGCTATTGTATATCAAAGGATTCCAGATTGATACTCTTTGAAGTATATAATTTCCAAAGAGGAGAGATGGGGTGTTGGTGTTATCTCATCCTCAGCTGGACACATCCTGGCTGATACTCATAAATCTCCTAGGTACAAATGTCCTGTTTTGTAGCTCCTAAACCTGCTAATTTGTCGTAGATGCAGACGTGACAACTCAGGTGCCTAGATGAGGTCCTTGCTTTGGATCATGGCAGTTGGGCTTTTCCAGTTTAGGGCCATGACAGGAGACCCACAAAAGGAGTTTTATATTAGAGCAATGCTTATAACAGTCATTGTTGGCACACAACAGCAAGCAACACTGAGGACATCAGGGACCCTACAATTGGCAGCAAGGCATAGTGGTTTGAGTGTCAGACTACAACTCTGGGGACCAAGGTTCAATTCCCAGATCAGCCATGAAACCCATTGGATGACCTTGGGCAAGTCACCTGCTCTCAGCCTCAGGGGAAGGCAATGACAAGCATCCTCTGAACAACTCTTGCCAAGAAAACCCCATGATAGGTTCACCTTAGGGTCACCATAAGTTAGAAACGACTTGAAGGCACACAACGAACAATTGGCAAGACATGCAGATGACATGTGAATGCATAGTTTCATCTGGATGTATGGAATTCTGGGCTTCCCACCCTTATCTATCCTGCTCCCTCCCCCAAGTATACACATGAACAAAATGCAAGCATGGGTTTTACTGTATTGCAGTTATAGTCAAAGCAAGAATCTGGAGGCACAATATATGGTGGAGACAGAAACATGAAGAAAGGAGGACCCAACAAATAGCAATATGTGGCTGGAAAGAGGGAAAGCGGACAGGCAATGGAGAGTTAGGGACTAAGCCAAGTGTCCTTCTCACAGGACAGGTGAATTGTTATCTGACATCTTGAGGAAGAAGCAAGAGTCAGGAAGAGTGAGGAAGATATTGGCACTGGGGTAGGCACTCAGCTGGCAGGACAAAAGTGGCACATGCAGCTCTATTCTAATCTACTCTTGCCTCTTTACCTTGAAGAGATGGAAAGGTTTAGTTGCCATGGCAACACTATTAACAAATTGCAGCTTAGTCGCTGAAGATAACACTGCTTGAGGTTATCAAAATATATTCTTGGAGGCCTTGATTAGCAAAATTCATAGTTTCTGGTGTATTTATTTAATATATTGCCATCTCTAACGGTAGTAATTTTAGATTCAAGGCTTTTTACTGGATTTTGATGAGTAAGTAGTTCCCCATTCTGTTCTAAACTAAGCTACACAATTCTCCAACTGTGAAAAAAGAAAAATTGGAAATAGAAGGAAAAAAATAAAAGAAATAGCAGAGATAAAGAGAATGAGACTTTTAGTTGTGAAATGTCAAAAACCATCTCACTGCCAAGTACTAAATATGTTACATATCATACATGTAACATATGAGAATTTCATCTCATCTATCAGATACTTACTGTAAATGTTGCCACTTTGACTATTAAATTGTTTGTACATCTCCACATGCCACTTCTTGAGTATTAATACTTCTGCCCATCAGATAACATATACTGTTGACTTTCAGCTCTGAGATTGCAATTGCCAGATATCAAAGACTGATTTTAAATAAAGATGAACAAAATATGGATATCAAATTCAATTGCAAATTATCTATACATCCTCTTTCTCTTGATCCCCGAGCCTCATAGAATGCATTTTGTGTTGATTATATCAATTGTTTGCAAAGCTATTAATAAAATCTGTTAAAAACTAAGAAAAAAAATATGTATATCAAAAATACTTGGGAGATATTCAAAATCAAAATATATACAGGGGAATCTGAGAAGAATTATGTGGGAGTTATTCTCCACTCTCATATGAATTTCTAGGACTGTTAGGTCGTTAAGACATTTTATTTGATTGATTTTTCAAACCGAGAGCCACATTTGGCTGCTCCATATTAAGAAAAAGGACTCTTCAAGACTAACCATTTTATTTCAGCATGAGCTTTCATGGCAAAAACCCTTTTCTTCAGAAGCAAAAAGGGCAACACTGTGTAGTCCACAAGAGCTTATGCTGAAATAAATTGTTTGGTTTTAATTCATTTGATAATTATTTGACTGGTCTTAAGTGGTTGAAGTGCTTCAAAACTCCCTTTGCATTGTATTTGATTAATCAACTGCCTGATTGATTAATAAGTTGCTTAGATTTTAATTGCACCAAAATTTCAGTGTGAGCCAGAGTAGATGGTTTGATCCTGAGTTTTTTTGAAAGCGGGTCAAAATCCTGCTGTTTGTACAACCCACTCCCAAGGCAGCCCAAACACCCATGGGCTGTCCACACCATGCAGTGTCAAGCCACACTACATGGGGGGGTTATTGTTGTTGTTGTTTCTTTGCCTCCCCACCATGCAAGTACACCATCACACAAACATACCACCTGCAGCCTTGAATTACCTCCCTCTTCCCGCCCAGATGCCATTCCATTGGACGCCCACCCATATGATTGGCCACACAGTCACACATGCGATGCAGTACATCTGCAGTGCATCAGTGTGCCCAGTGACACATCAGCAAAGCACAATCATGGAAGCACGGGATACTTGTCCCCTTCACCCCATTTCACCCCATGCCCCCTTGTTAGGCTATCTAGTTTGTGAATGTAATTACATTCATTGCATTATTGTGACCGTCCCATTTTGATGTACTTTCCTATTTTTACTTTGCCTCATTCCCACACTGGTACCAGGTGGTTTATATGCCAGTGCAATGATGTGCATTTTCTCCATTAAGTCAGAGTATCTGAGCTTCATTTTGCTCCAGTTTTTAGCCCTGAAGTATGGCTTCATTTCACTTTCCATACAGTTGTGCCTTGTGTGTCAACTAAACAGCTAGGCTTCAAAGCAGTTTGAAGCCACTTTATTTGTCCAGTGTGGGCAAGCTCTATGTATCATTTTAATTAAGTTAGTATTGACATTTGTTGTTGTTGTTGTTGTTGTTGTTTTGAACATTTATTTTTTTAAGAAAATTATTATTATAAGTAAACAACTATGTACAAAACATATCACAACAATAAAGCAAAATAAAACAATTCATCTCACAACTTTGAATTGTGCTGCAGGTCTCCTTCTTGGGTTCTGTTCAGTGTAAGTGGTCATTTTAAAGTCCAGTGCTGTCTTTGTGTAAATCTAGTCTAGAATGTCTGACCAAAGGTTCAGATAAAATGGCGGTTGTCTTCTCTTGTTTCTGTCTTTGTTTATTAAGTCAATGAGTAGGAACCATTTGTCTATAAAAGGTCTTGATTTTGGTTGTCCTGTGTAACTTGCCATTCTTTCTGACAGTTTTTCAAGTAACCACAGGTCCCATACTTTCCCCCACCACTTATCTAAAGATGCATCCCCTGTTTTCCAGCATCTGGCAATTTCTACACAGGCTTGCAATGAAAAAATCTATGAGGTTTTTATGTTTCAGATTTGAGTTTGTATCTACATATATTGATAACAAAAGCATTTCTGAACATAATTTTACATCTTGGTTGGTAATCAATGAAAATTGTTCAAGTACCAATTGCCAAAATGTGTTTATGTGGGGGCAGTCTAGCCACATGTGTAGAAATGTGCAATTATCATTACAACCATGCCAAAATTTGGAGGAAACATTTTTAACCATTCTGACTAGACTCACTGGAGTCAAGTACCACTTGGTTATAATTTTCAAGGTTTAATCAATGCTAATCTGGATTTATAAGGTGTTGAAGACCAAACTGTAGGCCACTTTGAAATGGGAATTGGAAGATTCAAATCCTTTTCCCAGTTCTATGCCACATATATTTTGGTAAGAGTGGTCAATCAAACAGTTGTAGATTAAAAGATGTTAGTCCTTTGGTGCTTTGTGAGGGGGGAATACATCATGCCTCAAATAAGGTAAGTGATCTAGGTGGTCCTCCTGTTTCCTTTAATTTGTGTATAAAAGCAATTGTTTGATGGAGATGAAACCAAGTAGCCTTTAATGGCTCTAAATCTAAATTTAGGGCCTCAGCAGACGGCTTATTAAGCCGTCTTGGAGGCAAGGAAGAGGAGGGGCAGCCGCACGCGCGGTGCCCCTTCCTCTTCCCGAGGTTGCCCTCGGAGCTGCCGGCCCTCCGCATGGCCAGCGCACTGAGGGCAACCTCCCACCGCAGCGTCCTCACATGCTGCGGCGGAAAAGACAAGGAAAGTGCGCCCTACGTGTTTAGGGCACACTTTCCCTGTCTTCTAAAAGGAGCATCAATTTGGAGCTCCTTTTAGGTTCGCCGCAGGAGCACCGTGGTGCGGAGGCTGCGGTCCCGCGGCGCTCCGGACCAGGGCGTCCCCGATGCCCTGGTCTGCATCCCCTTTTAGTTCATCAATTGTCTGCCATTATGAAAGAGGTCTCAGACAAAATATGCACCTTGCTGTTCCCATCCCTGGAACTGATTGAATTTATCAGGGGAACAGAAAGATTTGTGCACAAGAAAGGGGCAGATAAGAGAGGGATCTGGTGCTAGGACTTCCTTCCATCTTGACTATGGGGCTATGCAGATGGGCAAAAAGGGGTGCTTTGAAAGTGACTTGTAGGCATTGCCTTTAGATGACGCATGCCTAAAAGTCTCCAGGAAAGTGCCCTCTAGCCATCATATGCTGAGAAAACCTGTTCCAAAAAGGAGCCACTTTTTTCCGCTCCTTCAGTGAAGATGCGCACCTTCGCATGTGTGTATGTATGCAGTGACACTGATGCACCAGAAAATGGCAGTATAAATGCACCGTCGCACATGTGGCAGAAATTGACTCGGCGATCCAGAGCATGTGCCCTATGATGCAAGCTTTAATTTAAAGTGCCATATGCTTCCAGGTGTGAATGCACTGGAGCAGGTGCACTTGAATATTAGAACCCTAACCCTAATTGTAACCTTCCAAATGTGCCCTAGCAACTGTTTTCTGTTATGACAATAAATGCATTTGTTGCATGTACGCTTGCTGTCAGCATGCACAGCAGTTTTCATGAAAGAGGCTTTTGTGACCTCTTCTGTGCAGGTGTGCATAAGACCTACACACCACTTCCTGGCATGATGGGGGAGGCTCCTGGAGTGATGTTTGTCCATGTGTCCTGTTGCCCATGTCCCTTGCATGACCACCAGCTGCATTTATCAGGTCTGTCCACACAAACCTCCCTTGCATGTACGATGGAGTAGGTGTCTTTTCAGTTGACGGACTCATTCCTTCACCTCAAGGGTGGCACAATCAGACCGTGGCACCTGTCTACTGCACCCACTCCTTGGGGGGAAGCAGAGGTAAGCAAATCCTTGCTTGATCTGTGGGTATATGACAGGTCCTGTGCAAGTGCACAGGGATGCTGAACTTCAGTCACCTATGTACAGACAAAATGACAGATTGTATACCACTCTATGGGCCTCTGCAGATGGGCCCT